AGGGATTGTGTGATATTTATTGATAGCTACTACTCTATGTAGTTCTAACTTATTAAATATAGCCCCCCCCCCCCTACAAGTGGCAAAGTGTACTTTCAACACTAAGGAATTAAAGTAAATTGTGACACAAGTTAAAGAAATCTGTAAGGACGTTGAACGTATCGATAGTCGTTGACTGCTACACAAGCTTTAGAAGTAAAGCGACATTAGTTCAAAACTCTGTATACAGTGGACTAAAAATCTGTAAGATTAGTAAAATAAATTTATGTTTTAATATTTATCAATGTGTTGATAGATAGATAAATAAGTAATTTTATGTCAGTCTAGTTTGGTTAAATTTAAAATTTACTAAAAGTTGCTTACTAATTTCAGCATTTGAAATTTTTATTGTCACATGCTTGAAAAACAACAACACCTAAATTCCTGTACGGTCTGTTTTCACTTACAAATGTGGCTTAACACGAGTATGACTGTGAATTAATACTGACATTCTTCAGAAGACGTCTGTGTGGTATCCTGAGTTAACCCAAAAGGATTATATTTTGTGTTCTTTAAGAAACCCTGATAAAACAAACACGCGTTTAGAGAGCTGAACTTAAATTATCAGTTTTTATTAATATGTTTTGTAGCTACTGGACAGTTTTACATTATTAATACATTTTGTGGTAATTGGACATAATTTACGTTTTTTGTTAAGTTTTATAGCTAATGGACAGTTTTGCGTGTTTTTTTTTCAAAATGTTTTATAGCTAATGGACAATGATTTTTGTTTCCTTAAGAGACCACAGTTGGTCCCTAGTCCTAGCCACGGAGCTTCTGACGTCGGCAGTCCTCCATCCTTAGAACATTATTGTATGTCCGACCTGGATGTCTGGCTAAGAGACGGGGAAGTCCCGAAACAAGAGCCCAAGAAAACAAAATTCAATACAAAGCAGTGCTCAGACACGAATAATATGCTGGAACCCAGGCTTCCCTCATATGGCAGCCCCCTTGCAGGCTCTAATGTTGAGGGACCTACGAAACAAAATAGAACGGCTTCTTCATGTCAGTGGTCAGTTAACGTAAGCATACCTTCTCCAGCCACTTCGTTCAGTTCCGTTTCTGCCGAGAGCCCAACACTTTATGAATCATCGGCACCATCATCCATTCAAACGAAAGATCCAACCAACCTACAGATTCCACCCATTTCTCCAGGACAAATCAAACGTGAACTACCAGACTTCGAGTCTTATGGAGTGAAGGCTGAAGACGAGATCGCCAGTTCCTGTCAGTTATCCCAAGAGAAGATTCAACAAGTCCACTCTTTAGCTATGGAACAGGTCTCTCGTGACATAGATCTTGCCTGTAAAGCGCTCGGCATATCACGTGGTAAGTCGACCCTTTAATGTCTGTGTCATTAATAACTTTCGATCAGAGCAAGCTACCTACTGAGAAGCGAAACTAAAATTCAACCTGGTCATGAGTATGGTTTCAATGCCGAAATCCGTCGAAATATTAGGAAAACCAATAAGCCTAAAAATTATTACAAAAACAGGAAATTAGTAATAAGTGTTAAAATATCACTAGACGGTGACTGTGGCGCGATCTAACATCTTGTGCTGATTCCTTTAGGCTTGTATTCTTACACTAATTCGACCTTTTGTAAAGCCGTTTACGGAAACATGACCACATGGTTGTTGCTATTTATCCTTGTAGGTGAAAACTACATATCCAAATATATCATTGTGGTTGACTTAGAAAATAATGACGTTAGTATAATGTCAACTTTATTCTTCTAGAATTCATTAGAACACTTTATTCTCTTTACGAAGAGTTGTTCAAAGCTCTTCCCATCCAACACTGCTCCAGATTTTAGCCGAGCTGTATATGTAAGGTCACGATGGGTGAAGAGGTCATTGAACCTTTGACTCGTCTAATAGCCTTCGCCACCCATATGGAACTGAAAACTACTTTCTCACCGCTTATTAGGGTTTATTATGATTAGTGAATTACGATCAATTAATTTTCATGGTAAAATATTCTTAACCAAAGTACTGTTAAACGATTTAACACGATCTATTAAGATCATAAACTGATTTTGACTTGATGGATAAGGACCTTGTTGGATTATAAGATAGATAAACTGATTTTAACAACAAGAGATTATTTAGTTGTTAAAAGGCTGTTCTTTCACACTCACGTTTGAGGGAGGTAAAAATTGAAATTTACCATTCATTTTTTCAAATAATCTATTCTCTTCTTAACATCTTGTAAAGTCTCAACTTTCACAACTGCTGATGGCAATTCATCACGTAAGCTAATCACCCTGTTAGAAATGTAACAAAGGCTCAGTCACTGTTTCTCTCAATCCAATTAGTAATGTTTGTTTTCCCTACAATCCAATTAACTAGTTTTTCGCCAACTTCTACTGATGTAATTTGCTTAGCTAATCTTTTGTGTGGCATCTTATCAAAAGCTTTTTCAAAATGTAAGTGCCTCAAGTCCACATCTTTTCCTTTGTCCACATCAAAAACAACATCCTCGAAGAAAGTTAACAGATTAGTAAGACAAGATTTCGCGTTGGTGAATCCATGTTGGCGTTCATTTATAATATTCTATTTCACTAAATTATTTTACAATAAGTTTACCCCTAACAGAAGTAACTATAAAACAGGACATCAGCACCTGACTTAACAAAATGAAAGACTCAGATATCTTATTTCTTTAAAACCCTGTGGAATATCTGTGTGTTCCTTTTTATGTTTTCAATCTCTGTTTTTCTACTTACTACCAAGATATTAATATCTACATGATTCGGTTCAATTCTAATACTTCCCACAGATTGTCAAGGGATAATGCTTATATCTCTTTATGTGTTTTCAAGGTTAAAATTTTGTCATGTTGAACATGAATGATTAGATTGTAAACTGATTTTGTGTTTTATTGACGGATAATGACTTTGTCATGTTGAACATGAATGATTAGATTGTAAACTGATTTTGTGTTTTATTGACGGATAATGACTGTCATGTTGAACATGAATGATTAGATTGTAAACTGACTTTGTGTTTTATTGACAGAAAATGACTTTGTCATGTTGAAAATGAATAATTAGATAGTAACCTGATTTTGTGTTTTATTGACGGATAATGACTTTGTCATGTTGAACATGAATAATTAGATTGTAAACTGATTTTGTGTTTTATTAACAGAAAATGATTTTGTCATGTTGAACATGAATAATTAGATAGTAACCTGATTTTGTGTTTTATTGACGGATAAAAGTAATATGATATAATTTCGATAAGTGGTAATCCACCACAAGGGATATTTTGTGTTTCTTAGTTAGTTCCAGATCATGATATTTCTTCAGATATCACGCACCAGCTAGCTACAACAGAGATGAAGTAGAACTTGTATTACAGAGTTAGTACTAGTAGGTCAAACAGTCATGATCAGTTATTAGTAAGCTGCGCCCGGGCTTCTGGCATTGTTTTTTAACATTGCACAATGATTAGCCTTAGCCTTTTCAGTATTCAATATTTGATTTATAGATGAACAGAAGCATCTCAGCTACTTGTATTATTTAAAACTAACTGTAAATCGCTTGAGTGATTCTTTAGGTTGATTAGACAGACTTGGAATGTTCACTATGGACGTTTTGTAGAAAACAATTCACAAAATACTGAAAAGTTTAAAGTATGTTATTAAGATTTGTGTTTATCATTACACTTAACAGTGTAACAACTTCTCCGGAAACATTTCAGAGTGCGTGAAATAATTATGTATCTAAAGCTATTAATATTCATCTACCATGTCGATGTAAGTACTCCTGTAGGATATAATTGAAATACTTGCAATTAATAAAGACAAAAGCAATAAAATATAGCATGTTTAATTACATTTGTTTAACTTCCCATAAATAAAAATGTAGCATATTCAGTTACGTGTGTTTCATGTCTGAAAATATAAAGGGGGAATATAACATGTTCAGTTACGTGTGTTTCATGTTTCTGTAAGTATAAAGGGGGAATATAACATGTTCAGTTACGTGTGTTTCATGTTTCTCTAAATATAAAGGGGGAATATAACATGTTCAGTTACGTGTGTTTCATGTCTGAAAATATAAAGGGGGAATATAACATGTTCAGTAGATTGTTGTATAACGTACATGATAAATTAAGTACATGTACTTGACGTGATACGATCGTTTATACAAAATATGTGGATTAACACTATCGGTTAAATATTCTCTATTTTTAGACAACAAGAACTTAATTCCTCAATAAATTGCAAACAGTTACAATGTTTTTTTCTTTTCATCTTATATTTTTATTAGTCTTTATTTTCTCATACAGCTGTTATCTTTTGTCTTCCCACAGCTCAAAAAGTAATTTATTTTCTTTCAAAAATGAGTTTTTCGGATATCTATGCAAAGTTACACGAGGGCTATGTGCGCTATTCAGCCCTAATTTTGATCCGATAAGCTAAAGAGAAGACAGATCGTGAACACCCAACACCAACTATTTGGCTACTCCAATTGAGTAGTGGGATTTGGCCGTTTTATACCCACGTTCCTAAAGTATGGACCCACGGATTCATAGACTGGCACGCTCTGTCTACTTGTTTAGGGTAGCGAGATTTTTATAATAGGTTAAATAATTCCATATATATATTTATATTTTCCAGATCCCATGAAATGGTCAGCTGAAAACGTCCGAGCATGGTTTTTATGGACTTTAAAACAATATAATCTTCCTGCTGATCTAATTGGCTATTTCAAAATGAACGGATCTTTGCTATGCGCCCTGACAGAGGGGGACTTCCGTCGTAGGGCACAACAAGGTGGAGACATTCTCTATGCTCAGTTAGACATATGGAAAATAGGTGGGTGGAACTAAAAGATTCAGTATTTTAAAACTTCAGTTACTTAACCAGACCCCATTAGTTTTTCAAACTGTTTATACACTGAATTTTTTGTGAGTCCATTAATTTTATAAATTGCTGGTTGGATCCCTTACGTATTTTGCATACGTAAAACTGACTCATTTCATCGAACATATTTAGTCATTTCTTTACACTGTGTGATGTAACAGGTAAGAAAATAAAATCATTCAATATAATACAATATGTGAACTTCACTTGCATAACAAGGTGGTAATTCGAGGGTTAACTTGCATTTCCTTATTTCAAAAATACGTCTTAATGATGATGATTCAGCAGCCAAATGTATTAAAAAATTTCGCAGTCTTCCAACAACTTTTGTTGACTGTTACAGTTTAAACATTGGAAAACTAACAGGTCTAAAATTTATTATAGAAACAAGTTAACAGCAGGTGTTTTATTTTCCACATTCCTCTTAATTTGTTTTTTCTGCTCGAAGTCAGTTCAGTGTTGTATTACAGTTATGTTATTATATACTTGTGTATTTGTAGCCCAAGGCAGAACAACAGATAATTTAGCTAACTCTCAATGTTTGGATCATGTTTTGTTAATCCTCCTACAGCGGCCAACATGAGGAAAAACGGACAGAATTCTAGTATGTCGCCATTAAGAGCAGAAGAGAGTTTTCTGGACATCAACGGTCTTCTGAACTTGTGGTCAACAAGTTCGATCTCGACAGCTAGTTCAGCGTCCACTCGTGCCAACTTTATCAGCACTATGGTGGACAGAACACAGAGCCGATCTGCTCCAGCTGGATCTGGAGCTAGGAAACATAGAACTAGCGGTGCTGATAGTACTATTAATATGGCAACAGAAAGACTTCCAGTTCTTGTGAATAACAACTATGCTAACGACGGTTTGGAGAGCGAAGGTGAGGAATTTCAATGTAATGTTAGATTTGGACAGCGAAGATTAGGGATTTTAATGTATTGTAAGATTTGAACAGCGAATATTAGGCATTTTAATGTACAGTTAGATTTGGACAGCGAAGATTAGGGATTTTAATCTATTGTAAGATCTGAACAGCGAATATTAAGGATCTTAATATATTGCTAGATTTGGACAGCAAATATTAGGGATTTTGATGTACTGTTAGATTTGGACAGCAAATATTAGGGATTTTGATGTACTGTTAGATTTGGACAGCGTAGATTAGGAATTTTAATGAGTTGTTAGATACGGACAGCGAAGATTAGAGATTTTAATATGTAGTTGGAATTCCTATATTTTCCGTGATCATTTTAACTCAGATTAGCCCTGCTGGCATAGTTTTTTTTTTCTTCAGAAACTGTACATTATTGATGTTTGGTAAATTTCATAGGAATCTTTCCCTAAATCCTGTACAAACAATCTATAATTCCTTCTGTTGTGGGATTTCATGAATTACCCTGCGCTTGCACGATATGTAGGACTAGTGTTTGCTAACTCTTGGCTTGTCCCAGGCGTTCACATTGAAACCTTACGTTGGAATGTTGCACAGCCTTAGGCACGATCTTGTTGCTTGGTGGTATATTTGAACTCATGTAGTGGTGGGATGAAAACTACTGCGAAGATTGCCGTCTGTACTCGTACATAGACCTACAAGGAATGAAATGAACAGTTTCGCCTTCGACCAGTACTTTTGGCATTAGTGAGTAGTGGGTTTTCATGACAGGGTTGTTCTTGATTTTTGTTCAGATAGCAGATTTGTATCTTAGCAACGCAGAGATTAGTAGTGTTGATAATGTAGTATTAGCTAGAATTGAAAAGTTATGAACAGTGGCTTGTCTATTTCCCACAGCGACACACAATTACCAGACTACTATAACATTATTATGAACATTCAGATAATTAAGCATTCAGAGTTAATTGTTTGCCACGATCCGGGGAAACCTGCGGTACCACTCATGGCGCAGCAGGTGTCCTCAAAAATTCAGCAAGGTTAGAAAATGACAACATAATACAATATAACTCCCATATGATGTCATGAATTTGTTCGCGAACAATGTGAAGAACTCTCTTGTTGTCACTTTAAACTGGTTATATAGCTCGTGTGTTGTTGTTGACTGGTTTAACGTGGTTTGTACGTTGCTGTTTGATAGTTTAAACGTGGTTTGTGTGTTGCTGAAGTGTAATTCCATATTGCTCTTAAACGTAGGTTGGGTGAAGCTAAGTCGAGTATGACTTAGTTTTCAGACAAACATTTTGGACTTTGTATATTTATCATGATGCAGGTTAAACAAGATGGGTGTGTAAGGTAACTCTTAGCTTTTATCTAGCATGACCTGGTTGTTGTAGAGCGCTCGACTTACAACCAGTGGGACACGAGATCGAATCCCATCAATGAACATGCTCGATCTTCCAGCCACGAGGACATTATAACATTACGATCACTCCCACTATTCGTTGCTAAAAAGTAACCCAAGAGTAAGCAGTGAGTGGTTTGACTAGCTGCCTTCCCTGTAGTCTTTCACTTTAAAATTGGGGACAGATATCTCTCGAGTAGCTTTGCGTGGAATTCAACAAATAAACAAATGTAGTTTTCAAAGGTGATTATTATATACAAGAATTAAGATATTTTTACATGGTTATTGTATGAGATCCAGTTTTATACAAGTCGAGTGATTTTGGTTAATTAGTTTAATAATTTACCATTATAATCCTCATTGTTCATTTAAATTATCACATTTAAGTTTCAGTTTTGGAAGATAAATGATCTTTTTATTCTTGCAGGTGAGATTAGTGAGGGCAATTGTGACGTAGATCACAGTGGTAGAATGACTAAACCTGGGTCACATATTCACTTGTGGCAGTTCCTAAAAGATCTTTTGAGTCAGCCCCAAATTTACGGGAGTTGTATCCGCTGGATGGATCGTACCAAAAGCGTTTTCAAAATAGAAGATTCGGTTCGAGTTGCCCGCCTCTGGGGTAAGCGGAAGAACAGACCGGCCATGAATTACGACAAGTTAAGCCGTTCTATACGTCAGTACTACAAAAAAGGTATAATGAAAAAAACTGAGCGTTCACAACGGCTGGTATACCAATTTTGTCATCCATACGGGCTGTGAACTAAGCCTAATGGCGGAAGGATAAAGCCTCGAGTGTAGTAGCATTTCGAGCTTGTCATCTGTTCAATAGTCGTCGATCATGTTCAGTTAAGAGTGGTATTGTACTTACCTAGCTGGTCTATGGATTGTAATATTATCCTTTTTTTTTACATATTTCATATATTATTGTTTATTGTATGTATATAATTAACATAACTGACCGTATGGGCTGGCCCCATAAACAAGAATGCATGTACTCTTTTAAGTGTTAGTGTGTAAGCACGCACACACACATTTCACTTGACATGAAACTGAAGAGGCTTACAGCAGTCATTAGCCATGAAGGTATAATTTTTGGCTAGTTGACAAAACTAGAAAATCCTGCTCATTAGTCTTGATTCTAAAGTTTAAAATGATTTGTAATAAATAATTGATAATTTATTTATACATAACTGCAAAAAAAAAAAAGACATTCGGTTTCTAACTAATATGCATAAGCCTTATCAGAAAATGTGTTCTTTGTTTAGATGGTGATTTTACCAGGAAGTTGGTTTTGCGTAATCACAGCTTTTTTCAGTGACTATGATGACCCTTTGTTGAACCCAACAGATATTGTTGGGATCCTAGGCGGTTTGACGTCACTGGTGAAGTTTTTCCCGTATATCAATGATATATATATAGCGGTATGTTCTAAGAACAGACTGTATTAGAGTTGTTCTTGTGTGAATCAGTTGCGGTTCTGGAGCGTAATGTTTAACTTTGCTGTTATTTAAGCTTACAATAATGCTTACAGGCTTCACGAACGCAACGTTTTTACTACTCTGCAACGTAAGGCGGAGGTAAAAAGTATTTTTCCAAGTCTGGCATTTTTTTCTTTGATTCTGACACATTTCATTCCTTTGACAGTGGAAAACACATTTCGAAGGAGGTGATGACGACTATTATATTGATGTAACCCTTCTAGATGAAGGAACAAAATTACTACAATGATCAGCACATATATCGACATGTGTGCTATTACTTGTACAGCTTGGTTTGGGGATACTTTATGGTTCTGGTTTTGTTTATTACTGGGTTACATATCTGATGTCCAACACAAAGGACTTTTTGTTGAATGTTATTATACTAAATCGTTAGACTTCTGGTTATTAGGAATAAATTATATGGATAACATACTATAATGTTAGACTAGTGTTTGAAACATCTTAAAACCTTTCCGTGAATAACTGTACATTTGTTGAAGAAAAGAAAGGAATAAATTGGTATTTACCCATAGAGACACTTATTTTTCTTGATAAAAAGGTATATATTTTCTGTATTTATTCAATATGATTATTATTGTGGTTTTGATTTCTATTGATACTGCTCCTTTGTAGTTCAGTGGTAAACTTGAGGACTTTCAACGCTAAAATTAGGGGTTCTTGCCCTGCAGTGATCACTACGCAGATAGCTCAATGTGTAGCTTTGCGCTGAACAACTAACTATTGATACGCGGTTCATACACCGAAAATGGACGAAGCATTAGAAACCAAAAGGCCTAAAATGTGTACAAAAAAATCACGTAAACAATAGTTTTTTCACATTCCTCCTCTATTGTAGGATATGGCGAAGTTAAGCTAAAAGAAAAAACAAAAAACATCTGCAGTTTACGTGATTTTTATTAAAACTTTTGGGCCTATTGATACATGTTCCGGTACTCGGGTGTTGTTCTCTTACGTTTTAATTTTTTGTGGGTCTTAAACTAGTAACTTCTGTTCATAAACTGGCATGGGTAATTTTCTCATGATTGTGATATCTGTGTTATAATTATAAAATACATTTTTTGAGGCCTAAGCCCAGAGAAGAGCATGTAATAATTGCTATAAAAATGTTACATTTGTTAAAGCTGTATTGATGGCAAATTAAAGCCCGCATCTTTAACTTAACACTTATCGTGGGATTGAAAAGTAATAGGTGTTTTTATATTCTCTCCTATTTGTAGAAGTTTTCATAAAATTTCCCTTCTTACTATTGTTAATAAAAGAAAACTTTTATCTAAATGCATTACAACACAAACCCTTATTTATGTTGGTTTTGGGTTTCAAATTGAAAAACTGTTTATTTTGTAATACTCACCATCGATAATCAATTTTCTGTTTAAATAATTGCTAATATAAATCATTTAAAAATTTGATTTCTAATACGATTTTTTTTTCTGTGTAAAGCTACACGAGCCATCAGCGCTGTGTCCTCGGCTGAGAATCGAACCAAGGATTAGCACATCTGGTGGACATAAAAAATTAACCCGTAATTAACCTAATTCGATGTAATAAAACTAATTTTAGCGATTAGATAAATGTTTTTGTTTTCAAGTATAAAATTCAAACTGACATTCCGAATTAACACGATAATTTCCCTGTTAAATATATTAATTATACCGTAATAATGTTGTACGTACATTTGATGTGTACGAATATAGTGACAGTTGTACTTCATTCTCTTGTAAAGAATGTGTATATAAGAAAGATGTTCGGAAGAAGTAAGTGCACGAAAAGAAAATAATTAATCATATACGAGTATGAAACGTTTTTAGAAGATTTGAAACGACACATACCAGAAGTGTAAATACTGTAGAATTCTTGTCGCTGAGATCAGGCCAGGCTAGTTTTTAAAATGGCGGCTTATCAACTTGGCATGATGCCAAGTTTATAGACGTGTGTTGAAAGCAGTGTTATTTTTCTTTTTTTGTGTGTACGTGCATTTCAAGGCCTATACTTGTATTCTACACCAGCGTTAGATAAATGCAGACAAACGCAAACCTGCAAATGTTTACCTTATTTTAAACTGTAGAACAAATGATAAAAGACGCACACTTTTTTCTTGAATAAAATAGTTCTTAGAATTCAAATCGTAATAATGTTTCTGGAAAGACAATAAAACCTAAAAGTTAGTTGTGATTCAAATGTTTATTTGGTTCTTGATATTGTGTTGAAAGAGATAAGCTAACACTCTGAGTTTTGTTTTCATATTTATGTTTTAAATTTCGATACGAAAGTAGAAAAATTGATCTTTTTTTTGTTATATACATGAAGAGAAAGCTATAGTCACAATCAGATAATAATTTTTAGTTAGTTTGCACTAATGAAAAATTCACGAACGATTACGACTTTAGAGTGACCCCACTGGTTAGTTCTAATTACAGACTTTCCTCGCTGAAATCCTGGGTTCGATTCCTTGTAGTGGAAAGAGCGCATGTAGCCCATTATGCAGCTTTGCGCTAAAAAAGTCTAGGGACATTTGTCTCACCCATGTTATTTTGTAATGTAGATAAATAACAATAAATTATTTTATTATACCATACACAATATTATTCCATGTAGAAGATCGTGTTACACCAAGTCATGAAAAATACAGTGTGGTTTTTAAGCCATGTTGCTTAATGGCTTAAGCTACGAACTTCTTACACAGCCACTGGAAACAATTACTTACTTCTTCTTACTCACCCAGACAGACAGAGTCAGCGGGGTAAAATCTCGTTACTCAGTTGAAATGAACCGTTTTAATTTCTTTAAAGTAAATTTGTCTCAGAGATAGAAGCACAGGCGAAAACAACAAGCGTACGTACCACAGGAAAAGAGTTGACTACCAACAATACCAAGCGCTTCATAAGGATCTACAGCCAACAATAACAGTCTCGTCATAAATAAGGGTCTACAGCCAACAATAACTGTCTCGTTACAAATAAGGATCTACAGCCAACAATAACTGTCTCGTTACAAATAAGGGTCTACAGCCAACAATAACAGTCTAGTCACAAAGGAATGTCTACAGCCAACAATAACAGTCTCGTCACAAATAAGGATCTACAGCCAACAATAACAGTCTCGTCACAAATAAGGATCTACAGCCAACAATCAGTCTCGTCACAAAGGAATGTCTACAGCCAACAATAACAGTCTCGTCACAAATAAGGATCTACAGCCAACAATAACAGTCTCGTCATAAATAAGGGTCTACACCCAACAATAACAGTATCGTCACAAATAAGGATCTACAGCCAACAACAGTCTCGTCACAAAGGAATGTCTACAGCCAAGAATAACAGTCTCGTCATAAATAAGGGTCTACAGCCAATAACAGTCTCGTCACAAAGGAATGTCTACAGCCAACAATAAACAGTCTCGTCACAAATAAGGATCTACAGCCAACAATAACAGTCTCGTCACAAATAAGGATCTACAGCCAACAATAACAGACTCGTCAAATAAGGATCTATAGCGAAATACAGGCTAATCACAAATAAGGGTCTACAGCCAACAATAACAGCCTCGCCACAAATAAGGATCTACAGCCAACAATAACAGTTTCATCACAAATAAGGATATACAGCCAACAAGAGGCTCGTCATAAATGAGGGTCTACAGCCAACAACAACGTAGTAGTCAAGGATGGTTAGAAACACGTAAGTAAGGATGGTTAGAAACGTGGTAGGAGAAGATTATTAATTAAACAACATAAGGTAATGATTATTTAAAAACTATACAGGTAATACTTAAAATTAAAATTTTTTCCTAAAAATATTTTATACGTGGGGGTTTTTATTGGCTTCGAGGGGGGGGGAGCATTAAAATGGAAATAATCGTTAGTTTTCAAAACAGTTGAAATTATCAATTCAATATTCCAACCAAGTCAGTCGAGTTTGATAAAGCAGAGCGTGACTTTATGAGACTGTGAGTGGCGAAGCGAAGAAGGAGAGCAGCTAACTGTATTTACATGTTTTCCAAAGGTGAGTACTTGTTTATATATGCAGGTGTTTTTTAAAGATGGTGACTAGAGGAAGGTGAATACGTGTCTATATTTGTATATTTTCGAAAGGTGTGTGTAGTAGTAGAATTATTCCACAAAAACGTAAATATCTATATATACATTTTCATATTCAAGCACAATTAAATTAATTTATCTACAAAACTAAAATTATCAAGTAACAAAAAAAAAAGACGTTTTGGTTTCCCAGGGAGATACAAACTTCATCACTTTTTTAATGTTTTCTTTTACGATTCGAGATTACTTGTTACAGTTTTCAATTTTATGAAAACACTAGTTTCTAAAAATGTTACCATCCAGACTCTGTAAACATTGATAAATTGAATTTGAAATCAATTAAGTTCGGACAAATTATGATCAAGGTTTGATCTTAAGACTTGTAAGTTATGACGTCATCAGAACAACGTACAGGTAAATTCGGTGACGAGGAACCCACTTTGAGACTAATAATGGCTGGAGACGGCTTGAATGGGTAATGAAGAAAAATTTAATATAAGCAAATGTACAACGTTTCGACAAGGTTTTGTCATCATCATCATAACCTTGTCGAAAGGTTGTACATTTGCTGTTATGTTAAACTTATATTAAAGTTTTTCTTCATTACCCATTCAAGCCGTCTCCAGCCATTATTAACGTACAGGTAAGCCTCGTTAAAACAACGTTTCGTTAATATAAATCAATAACAATAAAAAGTAGAACAACGTTTCACTGATATACATCAATTGCAAGAAAAGATTAAAACATCGTGTCACTAGTTTAACGAAAGTAAAATTAAATATTTCTTTAATATAGCTCACGGGGTTCAACATGCTTTCAGTCCCCAAGTGGTTCAGCGGTAAGTTCGAGGGCTTATAACGCTCAAAATCTGGTAGGTACGATGTGGTGATCGGGTATTAATCATTCTCATTGTTAATAGGCTTAACAATTGAACGCTGCTAGGACTTTAGTATCCTATTATGGTGTACAAGTAGATCACTAAAATTAGAGTTTAACTTTCTGTTGAGCAAAACTGTTCAAAGTAATAGATACTTAACGAAGTTCAACTGTTAAAATTTATTACTTTTGTGTCAAAATGTATACATTTTAACCGAACACAAATTTTACTAAGTAATTAATCATTGAAATATTTATACACCAAGTAAATTGTTTCTTGACATTGTTGGTTACAAGTTCCCTAATAACATATGAATCAAACACACAAACACAAAATAATAAAATACTGTTATAAGTACGGTTGATCCCACTTATTTCCTATGCCAGTTCTTTACACCGAGTGTTGTAAAAAATATAAATTATTCAACATAATGCAATACGTGGATCCAATCCGTACTGAACAAGTCGGTAATCCGAGGGTTAAGACAGTCATTTACTTTGGTAAAATCTCAACCCGTTTCTTGTTTTAAGCATTACGACCCTTATAGCCACGATTACGTCATATAGACCCCACATTTATACGTTACGAAACTCTGAGTATATTGGACGACAAACCACTACACGTAAACGAGCGGAAATTACAACCAACGAAGTGTATTTGGATTTATATCCTGTTTAATAAGGTTTTTGTCACAACTTTATTTTACTAGACACCATATATGAAGAGTAAGTAAGACTTTTTTTCCATCTGGTGAACCTGAAAAGTCTGTGTTCTTATGTAAATCGTGCGATGTCAGCTGAATGAAAATCAAATCAAAATGAACATGACCATGTTGTTAGTTTTATAGTTGCTGATTAGCTAGTTCTATTGGCAAAATAAGGAGGGGGAAAAGAAAATGAATGGCGTTGTGTCACGAGACAGTGAGTTCATTCAAACCCACAGTTCTTAGGCGCCAGTCTGCTCCGTTAGCCAAAATAATAATTAGCTATTTTGATCACTTCTCATCAGACGTTTATCGTAACAATAGAAATAATAAATTTTACTGAAAACAATTACGTGTTCACAACAGTATGTCTGAATAATGATGAATTGGTGTGTTGCAATGAACGACTTCTATAAGATAGAGAGCTGTATTATTGTCGTGGGGGTTGAGTGAGGTAATAAGAAATCTATTCTATTGTAGCTAATTAACAAAGTCGTACAGATCAAATAAATTTTAAATTCATCCAATAATAAACAAAGAAGTACAGGAAATATTCACAGAAGTATGTCATCAGGCGTAGACATTTCACCCTTCTGCAGGTTATTCAGGATCAAGTACAAGTGTCTAGTGATTAGAATCACTCAATGGGGATGTTTTAATATCGATGAGTTATTCAGGAGCAAGTACAAGTGTCTAGTGATTAGAACCACTCAATGGGGATGTTTTAATATCGATGAGTTATTCAGGAGCAAGTACAAGTGTCTAGTGATTAGAACCACTCAATGGGGATGTTTTAATATCGATGGGTTATTCAGGAACAAGTACAAGTGTCTAGTGAATAGAACCACTCAATGGGGGTGTTTTAATATCGATGAGTTATTCAGGAACAAGTACAAGTGTCTAGTGATTAGAACCACTCAATGGGGATGTTTTAATATCGATGGGTTATTCAGGATCAAGTATAAGTGTCTAATGATTAGAACCACCCAGTGGGGATGTTTTAATGTCCATGGGTTATTCAGGATCAAGTATAAGTGTCTAGTGATTAGAACCACCCAGTGGGGATGTTTTAATGTCCATGGGTTATTCAGGATCAAGTATAAGTGTCTAGTGATTAGAACCATTCAGTGGAGTATGTTTTAATGTAAACGGGTTATTCAGGAACAAGTACAAGTGTCTAGTGATTAGAACCACTCAGTGGAGATGTTTTAATATCCACGGGTTATTCAGGATCAAGTATAAGTGTCTGGTGATTAGAACCACCCAGTGGGGGTGTTTTAATATCCATGAGTTATTCAGGAACAAGTTTAAGTGTCTAGTGTTTAGAACCACCTAGTGGAGATGTTTTAATATCTATGAGTTATTCAGGATCAAGTACAAGTGTCTGGTGATTAGAACCACTCAGTGGGGATGTTTTAATGTAAACGGGTTATTCAGGATCAA